TCGCCCAACGAAGACGAACTTAAATGGCTAATATTCTGTTTGCATAATGTGGTGAAATTACACATTGAATTGCATCGAAAATTATGCCGATTTAAATAAATAGCCTACCATGTTTCTATCTGTGTGTGTGTGTGTGTAAATATAATGTAGCCTAGCCTTTATGTGTGTGTGAGAGAGAAAGAGAAAGGGGAGTCATTGTAATGAATTAGCCTACCTTTCATTTTGTTTAGATTGTGACCCTATGCTTCCTTTATACACTCTGATATTAATACTGGTTTTTATTTTGGTCTGTTCAATATTTATTTCAAAATGGCTGTTTTAAAAAAGGTCCTCGGTTTTCACTGGCTCAGTTAAAGCCACACTGGGAACCATAAGAGAAAAAAATATTGATATTCCAACTTAAAATTCTCTCTCATACGAATAATTTAGGAATAAATAGGCTATTAAGCATGTCAGACTCCAGGAAGGATTTAAAAAATCTGTAAAGGAAGACAGAGAAGTCAGCCCAACAAAGTTCCCCAGCACTCAAACCCACCAGGCTGCAGACCTGTAATTCGGGGACTATTAGCGCCTTACCAGATGAGGGCCGATCCGAGTATCGTGTACAGTAAACCCAAGCGGGCCACAACATCGCCTGGCTTTCTTTCGTTAAGGGCGGAGATCCTGCATTGCTGCCGCCCATGTCCGCGTATCTGCCGGTCCCGTTGCCCGCCGGCTCGCCCTGTTTCGACGAGTTCTGCTTGGACGACGGCGACGTGGACGACGAGGAGGAGGGCGACGACGAGGTGCTGTCACTGCTGCAGTTGGAGTCCAGGCAGAGGCTGCCGGTGTGCGGCCTCGCCCCCAGCGGGTTGACGTTTTCTCTGCCCGGCGTCTGGCTGCGGTCGCGGTAGCTCGGCTCCTTTCTGCAGCCGAAGTCCGGACGGAGGATGTTGTCTATGAAAAAGTTCGTGGTTCTGTGGGCTTGCTGGGCGGCCTGGTGGGGTAAAATCATGGGAGGGGATGGGAGGTTCGGCGACAGGGACATGCTCTCCTCCTCGGTCGAGTCCCGGGCGCTGTTGGGCTCCTTTTGCTCTTCCATATCTGGTGACGGTGAGAAATGTCGGCCTGTCCACGCTAAACTCCACTTGTTGCTTGCTCTCCCGCCCCCTTCGATATCCAATTTAGGCGGACAGCATGTAAAAACGAGCGTCTTCGCTAGAATAAAACGAATAAATAGGCTACCTGTGTTAATTTTTAATATCACCTACAGCGGCGACATATCATCTCCTAATAGCCTTCCGAGAGCTGGCATAGCGAACGGCTCCACGTTATAACCAGTGTCCCTGCCTCTCTTCCCGGTGCTGCATAATATCTGTGTATTCGCTCTTCCCAAACTCTCCTAAAACCGTTATCCCCCCCCCCCCCCGTGTGTGTGTTTTTTTCCCCCTTTCTCTTTACACCCAGCCGGAAGCACGTGTGCGCGTACACACGTGAAGCGGGCCAATCAGACGCGGAGATCGTCCCTGTCACAGTTGACGATGTCCAATAAGGGCTCGGGGATAGGCTACGCGAGCAAGCACGCGCGCGCGCACACCAGCCCGCGCGTAGTTCGATCGTTTTTTTGTTTCTTTTTTTGGTGAGGCGCACGTGCGTACACACATAACACAGGAAAACAAAAACAACAGCGGGACATCCACCATTATAAATGTTACACGGCGACAGAAAGTATGCTTTCTATAGATAGGCTACACATCACATTTTGGGTTTCTAGACTAAAATCCACTTAGGCTATGATAAAATGAGATTCATTTAGGCCTCCAAGAAAATTAGGCTACATTATTTAAAGGACTTTATGACAAATGTAATTTTAATTTTAGTTCATACTAACTTATGCTCATTACTGTGTTTTATGTTGTTGTTGTTGTTTTTTTACCTCTCTGTAAGAAATAGCCTTCCTATCTTTCACAGGCTTTGGCCTGTTTATCGCCTTATTTTTGACTACTAACAAAAGACGATTATCCTAAAATGTGTCTAAATTGTCAATTTTTTAAAGAAAGAACAGGTAACAGAATAGACTATGTAGGCCTAAACTTGTAAAAAGGTCTGCTTGTTAGCCTATTCAGAGTCATTGTCATCTTTGTGTTTTCCTTCCCTTTCTTTTGGCATTTTCGTGTCTTTTCTTTGCATCTGCTGCTCCGGTGCGACACATTTAGGCAATATTTATGATTTAAAACACACATATTTTGGAAAACCCGGCTACTGGCAGCGGGACAAAACAACACTTTACAATCATCTCCGATTAATAAGAAAAAAATAAGAGGGGAAATTGAAGTTTACAAACACAGTGAGGCCTAGAAAGCAGGAATATGTCCCAATAATACGCCATGTTTTTTTTACATCTCCGGAATGAGAATAAAATTGCCACCAGGCTCTAATTGGCGATTTGAAAAAATAATATTAATAAAAGGAAAGTGGAGACGTGTTGATGTTTAACACCACCGCAGTGAAATCTTTATCCCAACAGGCCGGAGTGTGAAGCCGTGGCTACTTAATTAAATTCCAATTAGGACAGTATCAATATGCTGTTTAGCCGCAGTGCCATTGTGGGTAAATGAGCACTCAGTCTGCTCTTATCTGGCGCCGCAAAGAGAGGCTCCTTGAGAGGGGCTGCAAAAGATAATTTATAGCTTTTAATTAGTCTTCATTCTGCCCGATCAGCCCGGTGTTCATCACAGGGAGCGGGCTGAATAAAACCCGAGTCAAAAGCGCTGTCACCGGTCCCTGGCAGGGCCCTTAATCAAAGTGAAGCAGGGGCCGCGCTACAAGCCACGCAATTTCCAAGGTGCTGATAAAGCTTGTTGAATAATAGCGGGGCCCCTCGGAGACACCATTTACAGAAATGACTTTATTGACGGCTTAACGTTGGTAATTCATTTTACCTTTCATGTATTGGGAGCCGGATTTGTCGCCGTAATAGGATGATGAATGCACTGACGGATCGCAGCCCCGGTTTTATTGAGTAGCCTCTATACTCTCTCTCTCTCTCTCTCTCTCTCTCTCTCTCTCTCTCTCACACACACACACACACACACACACACACAAACAGGCTACACACTCAAGCTTTATGATGAGGCTCGTTGAAAAGCAGTCTGAAGTAAAGGCATGACAGCACCAGAACAGTTTCTATAACACAGAAAAAGAAAATCATGTTTTCACCTTTGACGCGGTTCACTTGATTATTTCCCTCCTGCGTGAAGGATCAGATGAAACAATGTAGGCTACCTCCAACACTAAATGAAGGACAACTATCTTTGCAAACTACTGCACTGCCTTCTACATTTGATTCATTGCCTTTTCTCCGCCTCAGATTCTGCTCTTGTTTTTGCCTTCATGCTTCCAGTCAGAATTACAGGCCAACATAAAGAATAGCCTGGTGTGTATTTTAAGCGTTTAAAACAGCCTTGTAACACAGTGCAAGCTATTTGCTTCCAGTTATCTTTAATTTTACTTTGTTTTTCCTATAGATGGGCCTACTCAGAAAGTGTGTTTGATATTTCTAAAAAGATACTTTGTTTTAGTAGAAATAAATATTTCCGTATGATATTAAAATAAATCAGATTAGGCATATACTTACTAAGCAGGGGCATTCAATGGTCTGCATGAGCTTTACTGTGAAAAATAATAATACACTTCTCAGTCTCAGTAAAATCAAATAATCAAACCAATTTTCTAAAGGGTGATGTTAACTGTGTGCATCAAAGTTATTTTTTATTACACAAAAGTTGGGTCTAATTTTAGTCTATGTCCAGTTAACAGAAACAACAGCTTCATCACCACAGTGTAAACGAAAATATTAAGTCCACTTTGGCCTTCAAATAAGAGGATACATGATCAAAGTGTTATATTTTCGTCCCACAACCAAAATGGCTGCATTAATAATCAACAATGTGGTCATCCCCGCAACAGTGTAAATTAAGATCGGGAACGTTTTTATGTCCACCAAACCTCATTCACTCATTGGCTCATTTCCAATAGGTGAATGCGTCTCTGTGTTTTTTACGTTTTATTTTTGTTTCAGGTAAATGTGGTCTGTGTGTGCTAATCATCCCTCTTCACATTGTCAGTTTTCTTCAAAATGTTTCAGGTTTCAGATAGCCTGCAAAATAAGGTGTGATAGTCTGAGGAAGGTTGTGAAGGTTTGGATGGATCCTGTCTCCAAGTGCTGTCACCTGGTGGAGGAAGATGGGAAATAGTGGTCTGGAACAGTGGGCCTACATGACATTCTCTATTTAGGTTTATTGGTCCACGCACATGCAGGTTAAATAGCAAAATGGCCAGCCTCATCAGATCGTGTTTATCCGTTTTGTTGGCTAAGCAGAAAGGTGTTTGTCTACTAGTCATTTCAGAGCTGAAGAAGTGTCTTGGATGAGGGTTAGGGTGACGAAACGTCTTTTAGTATCTTCAACCAAGTCCAGTTGCCCTTGACTTTAACCTTCTTTGGATAACTATGACCTGGATGACTGAGAACCTTCACAGACACCAGTCAGTTGTTGTTAAAGCAAAACGTATCTGTGTCTTAGGACGCTGTGCATGTATTTTGGTAGGCTTTCATATAAAATGGCGATAATGCAGCAAGTTCACTGACGTGATATATTGAAAAAAATTTCTTGGCATGGAACAGCGTGAACCTCTGAGCTGAAGTATCTACATCTGGAAACCCAGAAAGTCAAAAGCAAATATAGGACTTTGGCGACATCTAGTGACTAAGATGTGTAAGTGGCATGTGCACTTTTGACCTGCGTTTCGCTGTGGTTCTCAAACTTTTAGACATCAAGGACCTCAAAACTGACACAAGTTCGACCACGGACCCCGATTTGATAGAAGTTTTGCTTTTAGATGTTTTATTACAGAAAGTGTATGAAACCCATGACCAACATAGTCATACATTCTGTCAATGTGTTACTGTATGAATGGAATTATAGTGAAAATAAATAGTTCCCCTTTTTCAGTGACCCCTGGGACCCACTTTGAGAACCACTTACCTATGACATACCACATTAGCTGCAGCAGAGACACCAGAGATGGGCAGTAAGTCTGTGACATATTATTTGCTTATGAGTATTTTGTAATTGGTATTTAGCAGAGCTGGAAAAAAAATGTAATGTAATCTGTAACAAGATACTTTAGAGTAGAGTCTATGATTCATAAAACATTAGAAACAAGTCTTGGTAAAAACCCAGTATATGGCTGGATCTTGTATGAAACTAATACACTGATCAAGCTCCCTTTTTTCACGTTTTAACACTAGAGCCTTGTTATAAACATTTTAATGTACTGCCATTTTGTATAAATTCAAAATATCCTGAAAATACAAAAATACTAATTTTATCTTGATCCATTTTGTGGCACCAGTGTTTTATTTTGATACACTTATTGGGGGATATTTTGTATTTTGTAACATGATACTGTAACTGTAGTTGACACAACACATGATACACCAACCAGTCTGTATTCTAGATTAGGTCTGTTTATTCAAAGAGATTTCCCCATACCTTCTAATTTATTTTTTACCTGGCAACTTCTAAATAAAATAAATACATTTAACTTACATTAAAGATTCCTTTAGACAAGGCAAATATTTATTTTTAGCTATAGTACCTTCTCAAACTACTCAATAAATGAAAAAGTACTGCAGGAAAATTAATCAAGCAAGCAGAGGTTTTAATTATAGTTAACAGATTGGGAGAACTGTGAGTGATTAATAAATTATCAAAACCTTTGTCAGTGTAACTGAACATTTTAAATATATATATTTTAATGTAATTTTAAATCTTTGAAATATCAGTAGGTATCAATATATTCACAAATATCTAGGAATAAAAAGTTCAAAGGACACTATTTTTTTGGGAAAAGATGCATTCACATGTGCATTTCCGTATGCTGCTTTTCATCCAAATGCTTTAAATGTTCATTTTGTGACAGTGACACAAAAAATATAATTTTTCATGTATATCAACTCTTTTAAGCAATTCAATTCCCAAAACAAGAAAGCTATCAAAACGGTGAACTTATGTACTTTACACAGTATATTTGTAGATGTATAACCCCCACCCCTTTTATTTTAGTTTAGTCTTTATCATTTATTTTTTTTTTATGTATTCTTTATATTTTCTTTATATTTTATTGGTACGTTTTTATTCCCCTGGCAAGTTCTCCGCTCTGTACTTATACTGTTTGTATGTTATATTGAAGCAATAAAGTTTATGATCTGGGGGGGGGGGAGCAATTAAACTTTTCTTCCTTGCAATACTGTGCTTGTCCACCAGATGTCAGAGTAAAGCAGGTGAAGAAAAGACACTGAACAACTTGATAAACAGTTCTAAACATTTCCCAATAACTAAGACACAAAACAAAGGTTACAAGGCAAAAAAGACACATTAATCACTGGAGTTTAGTGACATACAAACAGGATGAATGGGATTACTTAAAAATATTTGTCTTCCTCTATAAAAGCAGACAAAGCCAATAAAACCCACAACAAATGCATTTTTCATTTCAAACAGCTGAGAAACAACTAATGTTGGTTTAAAAAATGTCAGCGTTATAATGTCACATATCTCAACATGTCTAAGATGTCTTTACTGCCACAGTGAGGCTGTAAAACCAGTCTAGATAAACAGCAATAAACTGCAGCAGACAGAAACATCACACACAAAATACTGTACAATTTATAATGAACAAATATACTGTTTTCCACTTTTTCATTGTTTAACACTTCACAACCTTGTACCCAAAGGTGTCAAATTTAAGTGTGGTAATACAAGACAAATGTTAAAGAGTTATCACAAACAACAATGCATTTTCAATTTAGAATCTCTCAATCCCTCCACTTTCTTTTAAACAAGCCCCTTCAACTATTGAAATGCCAGCAATGTACAGAGGACATATTTGCATACTAAACGATGATTATCATTCACTGAATTTCCTCTCTCTCTCTCTTTCTGTCTGTCTGTCTGTCTTTCTCTCTCTCACTCTCGAAGGTCCACATTCTCTCCAGTAATAATACATGAAGGGCTCCTCTCCCTCATCCATTAATCAGGAGGGAGGCTGAGGTAAAGGAGGGCTGCTCTTTGGCCTTCACACACATACACACACACTCACCTATCATTAATAATTGGAGGCATATTAATGCCGATAAATAATTAAGCTTTGGGGGATCTCTTTAGAGTCCTAATGAGAAGAGGGGGACAGATTGCTCCGCAGTCTTATTACGTCTTGCTGAGAAGTTTGTAAAAGCTTAAGGTGATGATAAATGGGCGCTACCGAGTAATTGGCTAATTAAATCGATGGAGACACTTTGCCGGGCTTGTGTTAACAAAATGACCCATCTTGCTTCATGTTATTGCTCTAAGGCAGAAATATAGATTAAGTGTTTTTAGCCATGCTAGCAGCATAGCTTTATGGATGGCAATGCAGGTCGGTCGGTCGGTCAACTCAACAACTACTGGATTAGACGGTTTGTCCCAGTGGATAACCCTAACCACTATGAGATTGACATTTAATTTAAAAAGCGATTGAATAGATTGCAACTAAAATTTGAAGCAGATGTTCATCTTCCTCTAAGAATGAATTGTAACAATCTAAACTTTTTGAGGAGCACCATCATCAGTACCTTGGTTTATGGTGATAAACCTGCAAACAAATACCTGCAAAACTAAAGACATTCCCATCCATCTCATCTGTACACCTCCATAAGTAACCTCACAGGGTTTCTAGCATTGCTTTAGATTCTTAGTGATGATTCAGATTGAAAGCAGGCCTGCATTAAAATTGAAATTACTATTACATCTCTGAACATGTGTCTTTTGATATCATGAATACATGATTATTGTGTCATTTTACTATTTAAAATATTTTTCTCCACCATAATTCCCATCCTTTTTAAACATGTGTCCTAATAACTATAATGGGTGTTTTTCTGGCCTATTTAATGGGACACGTTAAAGAGTATGCAGCACCGTATGTATGCGTGATACATACGGTGAAGGGGCTGTGTGTGTGTCCTCATCAGCCATGCTGCTTGGGGCCACTCTAACCTTTCAGTTGATTCTCTAAGGATCGCCTCTCTCATCTGGCATCCTCAGCCTGTCACTGCCATCAGCCAGAAGAGAGATGAAAGATATAGTGCTCATTGGCTTTGTTGCAATGAAAGCGGCCTGCTCCAATGACTTATTTCCTTAACCTTTACTCACCTATATTCAGAAATGACAGATTGCATGACATTGGATGACAAAAAACTCCTAAAAGTCATTATCAGATTTGAAACCTGACAGATGAGAGATGATAATTAAGCAAAAGCAAATCCAAATGAATCGGCTGTTAAAATGTGTATACTCCAGGCAGAAGAAATGTGTTATCTCTAAGTGACTACATCTCAAGTTAGAGCCCCAACACTGGACTTCTTTGCAATCACTTGTGAGGGCCCTAGTCTTTGTGGCAGCATCTGTGTTGGCCTGCCTCTGCTTCCCTCTTTCCAGATTAACCCCGGATTGTCTGTCCCCTCCCACCTCATTGATAGATTGCTGTCGACTGCTTGGAGCCTTCATGACTGATTCCAAAATGACTGTCTCTCTCTCTCCCTCCTGGAAGGCTAGTGCCTTTCATGCACCCACTTTGTTTTTGTTTAGATTATTGGTTCACGTTGCAAATAGTTTAGGTTAGCACATACAGTGTCATAGCAAATAACTCCATCCTTCAATTACTGACTTTACACCTCCTAGATTATGTTGAGTTATCTGTAATAAATTATTCATCTACTGAAGCTGTTACGGTGTGGCTCTCCCTTCTTTGTTGTGCTCCTGAGTGAGCCCGGTATAACATTTAATAGTAAACAATGAGTCTGCAATCATATCCTAAATCCACAAAACACATATCTGCTACATGATGCAAATTTAAAAGAGTTTACAGCTGTGCTAAGGGCTCTATGGGGCTAGACTTGGGCACAGAGGTGCTTTGAGGTAAATGCCAATGGCAGTATGCTAACATATTCACAATGGCAATGCTAACATGCTGACATTCAGAACGTTAGCAGATTTTTGCCATGTTCGCCATCTTTGTAATGTGTTAGCATGCTAACTAGCTAATTAGCATTAAAGCAATATTATGTTGTATTATTATCTTAAAATAACAGCTTCAGAATGATATTGATGATACACTGACTTGTGAATGGACCGGGAAAGCTTGCTGAAATCCAAGGCAGAATTTCTATTCACAAGAACAGCGTAATGCTTTACGGCACACTGTAAAAACATAAAAGGCTGCAAGACAGATGCCAAGTGAAGGACTGTATAAATTAAAAAATGTAGCTAACGGTAAAGTTTTGCACTGGAGAATCGCCAAAGGAACATGAACTGCAATCTTTATTACACTAAAATAAAGTGAACTTCATACCAGCACCACATGAGGCTGTTGGCTTGATATAAACATAAAGACAAAAAAGATCTTTGGAAATAAGTTAAAATATATATGCATGATGTGGATACTTGACCCATTTTAAAGGCTCTAAAATCTCTGTCTGTCATGACAAGCTGAGGAAGGAGGCTGTACATAAAAATGACAATATAAATGGGTGAGAGAAAGAGGGGATGAGGAGAAGACAGCAGGGAAGGAGAGGTGGATAATGGTTGACGGGATAAGGGAAGGAGTGTGTGTGTGATTGATCTCTTTTAGCCTCTCATTATGGCCTGACCCCGAGAATAAGACAGATGTATTCCTGACAGCTATGCCATTTTCCTGCCTGCCTGCAAATCAGCTGTGTGCATGTGTGTCAGTGCTTGTATTTCTGACTATTATATGTCCTCACAAAGATAGAAATGTAATTGCCTAATGCACTTTTCAGACTACATGATATCTGCCCGATAAAAGCCCAACTCGACAGACGTAAGGCGTGGAGAACAAAATGGGAGTAAAGAGCAACAATTGATCGCTTTATACCATGTAGTGTATCATAGCAGATGAGAACTGATGCCGCTTCCGCCTCATAACATCCCAACAGAAAGCGTGGCAAACTATTTTTGCATCCTTTTAGTATGGAAAGTTCATTGATGCTGACCAATATGAGCACAGAGCAACTGTAAACATGGTGAAGCAAAAGAGGGATTATGTTGCTGCTGCTGCGACATGGAGCTGTGAAACAGTGGAAAGGTCACAGTCGTTTTTTCTTTCTTTTTTAGGCTTTAGGCTAACACAAGTATTATTGTTTGTTGATATTTTTTCCCGGAAGCACTCCTTCCTGGTGATGTCATGCACATCATGAAAGATGGCAAGCTCTGGTTGGTCTATGTGTCATGTCTCTAGGCCATGGCACAAATTTATGACAGAGAAAAATATTGTGGAATCTGAACCCAGCATAGATCAAAAATATTTAAGATTACATTTTGTGGAAGATAGAAAAAATAGTTAAAATTAGGGTTGATTTAGGGTTTGATTTGACGTTTTAAGAATAAAATTAGTCTCAGGTTTAAGTTTGGTAAGTGGAGGTGCTAGGGACTGACTCCTGCAAACATTTTTGCATGTCATGCCCATGGTTCAAATTATGGGGGTCTGACCCCCCTAGTTAAGGTTTGGACCCCCCCAAAAGAAGTAAAAACAACAGTTCAGGGGGGTCTTTCTTGCCTGTAATTGTAAATATCACAATATATTTCCCGTACTCATGCCTTATATTCAAGAATCTTGAAATACAATTTCAGACAACCCTAAAATGGACAGTGCAATTTTCCAACATTGACGTTAGTTGAACATCTTGTCCGTCCACATCACTGGCAGAGGCGGCTGCTCCAGTCCAGTCCACTAGTGGTATTGCCGATACCGACAACTATACCAATACTTTTTACATATTTTATTTCTAGTTTAATGTGACCTCCCCCCTCCCGTTTCTGTATTTATGAGAGAAATAAGGAGTAGGCTGTAGCCTTACCAATTCAAAATAATAGCTGCATAATGACAAGACATCAAACTACTGTCATATTCTTTAATTATAATCAAAATATCCTGCTCAGAACTGCCGCTTCATAACATCATCCTATTATTGTGATAGACTTAATCTCAGATGTTTAGCGAAGTTTGCGGTGTTGCCAAAGTATTTCACTGTCTTTGCACACACATCGCACAGAGCAACATTATTACCTTCACAGCTAAAACACAGCCAGACGTGAGTGTTTTTTTTTTTTAACCTTTATTATGGATATCTATGGTTTTTACAGTCAATCAGAGTCAGTATTCCTAATCGCGGGAAATGTAAAGGGCTGCAGCGGCTCACTTCAAAGAAGCTCCGTCACAGAGCCATAGCGCAAGCATGCTTTGACAGGCGGAAGGAAAAGTAGTTCCTATCAATGTAGTTTAATTAGACCATCCTGATGACAGTACTTATGATAAAACACACACTCACTCCAAATGGCTGAGTTTAGATATCGATCCTTTTATATGAGTATCGATCCTAGAAGCAGGAAACGTTGGTATCAGAAATATCGATACTTTAGGATCGATCCGCACATCACTACAGTCAACCACACGCTGGTGGAGACGCTGCAAGTGAATGTCAGTAGTTAGCCGTCTAGCTGCTTTAATACACTTAACTTTCCTACCTTCAGAGTTTCATAATTAGCATTTAGTTTACTTAAAATGAACTATCTGATGTTAGCTAGACGAGAGCCCACCCTGTCATTTCATCACTATGTACAAATGTTATGTAATTGTCAGCTAACACATGGTGCTTAGGCAGTGAACAGTGAAATTGGGGATTAGTTATTGTAGAGATACATTTTTACATCAATATAGTGTTTATTATTTCATATGAAGTATTTTGTGAGTCCTTTCACAATAAACATATTTGTTTTAAATCTGGAATTCCCAAAAATTCCCATTTCCCCAACAACAGTGTCTGACTACTGCTTTATTGGACGCAGATTACATAATTCACAGTCAACATGAGCAAGAGGAAACTTGAAACTTGAAACTTGACGAGGATGATAAGAATTAGGAATTAGAGATGATAGTGCACACTGTATTTTATGAAAGTGTCTTTGGTTGCCAGTGGCCTACATCTGCCAGGCTATCATTGGAATGATATTGTGAAATCTGACCGCGTCATATGGCATTTAAAAGTAAGATTTAAAAGAATTGTTTTACGTTTTGGGAAATGCTTTTCTGCAGAGAGTAACACGAGAAGACCAATCTCATGTATGTATGCTAATTATGAAGCTAGCGTCAACAGACGGTTAGCTTAGTTAAGCATAAAGCAGGAAGAAACAGCTAGTTTTGGTTGTTTTCTGTTTGTGTTTGGATTAAACAAAATGTTTATTCGTGAGCTTAGAAGTTTTGGCTGACTGTTAAAACTTTAGAAAGAGCCAGGCTAGCTGTTTGTCCCTGGAAGTTTTTATGCTAAGCAAAGTTAACCATAGTGGTTCTAGCTTCATATAGTGTACAGATAAGAGAGTTGTAACAATCTTCTCATCTAACATTTAGCAAGAAAGAGAATAATGGTATTCCTTTATAATTAGAGGGTTTGGAAAAGGTTTGTCCTTCTGCAATTTTTCAGCAAATTTATACAGTAAGTTTTCATAGAGGTGTATTACAGATACCAATAAAAGATTCAATTTCAGATACAATTACAACACTAAGTTTGAAATTAGACAGTGGTTGTAGTGTTGCAGTGGTAACCTCATGAGTGTGATACTTCAGATTAGTAGTCTTCAGAAATTTCAAACGGTACAATCCCAAGTAACTGAGTTCAGGTCCTTAATATCACTTACAGAGAAGATTCCTTACCCTGCTTCAGGGTGAAAATGTATAAAGAATTAATTGTCATTATGGAATGTGATGCTCCTCTCTGTCTCATTTTGGCCCAGACGTCAGAGCTTCAGCTAATGATTATTTTCATTATCAATGATTCTGCTGGTTATTTTCTTGATAAGTTTCTCTGTTGGTTGGTCTAAAAAATATCAGGAAATAAGAAAAATGAACAAATTCCCATTACAATTTCAAAATAATTTATTAAAATTTCTTGTTTTTTCCAACCAACACTGAAAAATCCAAATGTATTTAGTTTATTATCATATTATCAGGACAAAGACACAAGCAAATATCCACATTTGAGGACAAAAACAAGCAAAGAGATGTTTTGCATTTTGTTTTGCATAAAAAATTACTTCAACGATCGATTGCTTATTAAAATTGTTGCATTCCTAGCGTAGCTCTTCGAGTGATGTTAAAATGATTCAAAGAGCAGCTTCAATGAAAATCACCGACTGCCAGTGCAGCCTTTAAGGTTTTTGTCCTTTCAAGAGTTTCAGCAACAACAATGAGCTGTGGCACTATAGATATCCAAGAGTGACAATCCAGTGCATTTTTATGACTCTCAAGACAGTGATACAATCTCTGGAAATCCCACATGCAAGTGGTGCAGGTGACTGTCAATGAAAAGAGGTAAAGAACAAAAAGTACATAAGGCCACTGACATGCATGCACGAGAATGGATAAACACGTGTATCACAATGTTGTGTGCAGCATTTGACAAAGGAAATGTTCATGGACCTGGAAAGTTATTGTCTTTGCAAAAGCACCCACAGCATTATATTATTTGCCAAATAAGCTTAACCCGTTTAAACCTCCAGGGAGTGCATTTGTTTTCTTCATTTGTCTTTTTTGTATTATTTTATTTACTTCTATGAGAAAAAAACATGCCCAGTCTTCTTTTTTATCCCCTCACTGTTTCCCTCTCTTCTCTCCGTTTCACTTCTATTTCCCTCGTTTGGCCGATTAAAC